GATGGAGCACTGAGCGGGTCAGGGCGGCTGCCGGCAGCGCCATGGAGACGGTGCAGCTGAGGAACCCGCCGCGCCGGTGAGGGGCTGCTGGCTGAGAGGAAGGGGGTGGGGGAGGGAAAGGCGGGAGCTGGCGGAGGAGAGACATCCGTGTGTGAGCCCCCCGCGGGCAGGGACCTGCGGGGCGGGGCGCCTTTTTTTTTGAGACATCCGTGTGTGAGCCCCCCGCGGGCAGGGCCCGGCGGGGCGTGGGGACCCGGCTGATGGGGCACCTGCTGAGTGGGGGACCTCCGGCGGATGGGGCTCCCCAGGGCAGCGCGCAAGGAGGGGATCAACGTGGGGCTGGTTAGGGAGAGCACTTGCGGAGGGGGACGTTCTGGGGCGATGCTAAAGGGAGCAACTGCTGAGGGACCTGGAGACAAGTTAGGGAGAGCACCTGCTCAGGGGGTGGGGGTGGAGGAGGTGCACAGGGGGAGGCCAGCCTAGCAGGGACTCGCCGAGATGCGGGGAATGCTGAAGGAAGATGGGATCTGATGAGGGGTCCGCCTGAGGGGGATCCGGACCAGCAGAGAGGAGGGCTGGGTGGACTCCACGGGAGGGAGTCCCACCCGAGAGGCGCCTGGCGGGGAGGATCTGGTGAGGGGGAAGCTTTGCTCCTAAGGCCGAAGGGGTACCGTGAAGGGGTGAAGGGGTGAAGGTCTGGCCAGGGAAGGCTTCGAGGAGGATGGCATTTAGGAAGACGATCCTGGCAGTGTCCTCACTCTGTCATGGTGATGGCATCTTTCATTCCTGATATCCAGTGTTTTATTCGCCTCACGCCCTCCACAGCCCCTCAGAACCCAGTGTTGGGAGGTAGATGAGGAAACAGAATATTTTCAAGACGGGCACGTGGAGGCCTAGATTAAGATTGGAGGCACAGTCCTGTGAGTTTCCTTCTTTGCTCTCGGTCTGGGTCACCGGGCCCTTTCCAGGCCTCTATTGTGTTGTGAGTTTCAGCTCCAGATCCCACAGCTACCTGGAATTGTTTGAGGTCAAGCTCAGGAAGGTGGCGGAGCCTAGGAAACCTGCCCTCCTGGGTTGGCTGCAGTGGTAGCCTTGATTTGCTCTGTGGACACCAGGGTCTTATGTCAGTCACTCTGCCACGTCTGGAGAAAAGGAGACAGTAGCGACGGAGGGAGTCGTGCTGCTCTGAGGTGCAGCATAGTTCGCTGCTGCTTCACAGAGACCTCTGACTTCCTGCAGCAGAGTGAGCACTGAAGTAGGAAGTGTTGAGTGTGTGGGAGTGTGGGGCAATGGAGAGGTGAAGGGAAGGGATTGGCAGCCTGGGCTGCGCAGTTGGGGTTTGTTTTTGAAGTGCACAAACTGCAGGAGGCAAATAGCCGGTTGGGATAGACTCGTAATGCACCCCGCTGCGATGTGCCGAGACCGAAATAATAATGATTATTACACCCATAGAGCACTTACCGAATGCCAGACCCTGTTTTTTGGGGTGCTGTCTTTGTCTCCTGTTGAACCATATGAAATTGCTGATCTCTGACCATTTTTGACCTATAAAAATGGTAATTTTGTATTACTCACTTTATTATTGACCCATGTGGCCCTCACCACAATTCTCTGTGGTGGCTGTGTCTGTGTCTGTTTAACAGGTGATAACACCGAGGCACAGAGAGGTTAGTCATGTGTTGGAGGTCCCACAGTTAGTACGTGGCAGGGCTGAAATGTTAATCCAGGCGGTGTGGTCCAGAGTCCGTGCTCGGACTGCCTCACTCCGATGCCTCTCTGGAAGTACCCCTATTTCACAGGGCCTCACGTGTATCAGCAAGATCTGCAATCGCACCGTAGTGATTCAGTTATAAATGTACACTGGTTACATTTTTTTTTTTTCCTGAAACATGTTCTGAGGCTTCGGTTTAATTGAAAGACGATTAGGTATTTGAGTTTTTTTTTTCTACCTTTGCCTTATGCTGTGTAATCTTGGGCAAAAGAGTAAGCCTTTTTGTTTTTTGACACTCCTGTGCCTTTTGGATTTTAAAAAATGTATGAAATGTGCAAGAAAAGAGCATCGAAGGGCAGAATTTTCACATGACTGGTGCTTTCCTGCTCTCATAACTAGTGAAGTGCCTTCTTTGCAGCAGATTAACTTTCTCATCATTTGTACTAGTTTGTTAGGGCTGCCATGTCAGTTTCACAGACTGGGTGACTTCGACAACAGAAATTCATTTTCTCATAGTTTTAGAGGCTAGAACAGGGGTGGGCAAACTTTTTGACTCGAGGGCCACAATGGGTTCTTAAACTGGACCGGAGGGCCGGAACAAAAGCATGGATGGAGTGTTTGTGTGAACTAATATAAATTCAAAGTAAACATCATTACATAAAAGGGTAGGGTCTTTTTTTTTTTTTTAGTTTTATTCATTTCAAACGGGCCGGATCCGGCCCGCGGGCCGTAGTTTGCCCACGGCTGGGCTAGAAGCCTGAGATCAAGGCATCTGCAGGGTTGTTCCTTTTGAGGCCTGTCTCCTTGGTTTGTAGATCACTGTCTCCCTTCTATGTCTTCATATCGTCTTCCCTTTGTGCCCATCTGTGTCCTCATCTACTCTCATAAGGACACTAGTCATGTTGTATTAGGGCCCACCCAGATGACCTGATTTTACATTAATTACCTCTTCAAAGGCCCTGTCTCCAAACACAGTCACCTTTGGAGGTACTTCAACATATGAATTTGAGGGGTCGGGGAACACATTACTTTTATTATCATTAAAAACTTCATCAATTTATCTTATTTATTTGTTGCAACCCATCCACATTGAATACTGTGTGGAAAGAGGCATGGGTATACATAAATAAAATGAACCTTACTAGAGTTCTAAGATGGGAGAAAGAAGTTTGAGATTTAGCCAAACCTGTAAGTAACTACTTCATAAACACCCTTATTTGGGTTGGAAAGGTACAGGTGTCTTTTCAGAGGTTCAGACTGTATGTGTTTCTAGCAATCCCAACGTAGGAAATGCTCTTTGTGCTCGTGAGTTAGACATTTGTGTGTGACTAAGTGAGTGATGATAGATTAAAGTTGATGGTTATGTAGGAGGTTGATTGATAAAGTGAGTTGCCATTAGAGAATAGTGTGGCGGAAGGTGTAGAGTGCATTTCTGGGATGCTGGCCATGCACGTGGCTATCTGACTTAGGAGAAGAGCATCTGCTGGTATTTGGTCCATGGAGGCTGTGTTGGCCACGCCTGTTGGTTTCTGAGTAAGCTGTGAAACTACCTAGGACCTGGGCAAGTCCCAGCTGAGAGAGCTGAATCATCAGAGTTGGGCTGTTATGGTTATGGTACTTCTTCCATGAAGACTTATGGTATAAAATATCATTAAGTCACTTGTCAAAGATTTTTCATAGAAATCCTATTTGTTAATAATCCAGTAATACTTCTTGGGGTGAAATTCTGTGTGGGTGTTTTTCCTGTTGTAAATCCTCAGCTGAGGATATTTTTCCCATTGATTTTTAGAGAGAGTGGAAGGGAGGGGTAGAGAGAGAGAGAGAGAGAGAGAGAGACCAATGTGATGTGAGACATATTGATTAGTTAGGGCTGGGGATAGATTTAAACAGTGGTTCTCAACCTTCTGGCCCTTTAAATACAGTTCCTCATGTTGTGACCCAACCATAAAATTATTTTCGTTGCTACTTCATAACTGTAATGTTGCTACTGTTATGAATCGTAATGTAAATATCTGATATGCAGGATGGTCTTGGGTGACCCCTGTGAAAGGGTCGTTCGACCGCCAAAGGGGTCGCGACCCACAGGTGAAGAACCGCTGGGATAGAACCTGCAACCCTTCAGAGTGTGGGCCAATGCTGTAACCCCTGAACAGCACTAGCCAGGGCGTGAAATTCCATTTTATTTTGAAAACTCACAAAGACTGCTGATAAAGGGTTATGATTCCCATCATTACATTCGTTAATCCATTTAGCAAGTGTTTATTGACCACCTCCGGGTTATCAGGCATCAGTGATATAAAGAACCCATAAGCCGGAACCAAAAACAAACAAAAGAGCACTTAGATTGTTTTTAAAAAGTATCTGAGCAGTCATGTAAAGTTTGACTTGTCAAAGTATTATCAGAGGCTTGCAGCTGTCTCTCTCGTGGCCGCAGCAGTTTCCTTTGTTATGCCGTGGTCTCCCTGTAGTTGAAATAGTGAGTTTAGTTTTTTGTTAACCACAAAGTCAACTTCCAAGGAACACATTTGATCTTCCTTTATATAAGCTGTTTATAAAACTTTAATTATACTTGAGGAATGAGGTATTGTCCATTGTTTATATAGTTACAAAAAAGTCCCCTGATTTATGAGATGTCATTCTAACTTCTGAGTTCATAGGATTTCACTTCTGCCCTGGCCAGTGTGGCTCAGTTGCTTTAGCCTTGTCCCATGCACCGAAGGACCTCGGGTTCGATTCCCAGTCAGGGCACATACTCGGGTTGCGGGTTCCATCTCCAGTTGGGGTGCATACAGAAGGCCGATCGATGTTTCTCAAATCGATGTTTCTCTCTCAAATCAATAAAAAACATTTTAAAAAAAGAAATTTTACTTCTGAAGTTTAAGAGGAGTTTCACTTCAGCCCTTGATGTTTGGAATCTGGGAGTTTTTAATGATGTCATTGGAATTTAATTTTTAGGAACTTTTGTTTTTCAAAGGTCACCGTGGTCATTTTGTTACGTTAACTTTCAAGTTATGATAATTATTGACTTGGAGTAAAACTCCATTTCTCTAGTACATAGTCTTTGATATTTAGAAAATTCTATTAAATTATTCTTTTTAGATCAGTGTTTATTGGTAGATACACTTGATATGTCTATAGTTTTGTTATCTTCTGGTTTTGCTATTTTTCTCTAGGAAGTTACACATTTGTGTGTGTGTGTGTGTGTGTGTGTATTTAAAATTCAAGTTTTTTTTGTGTGTGTGTGTGAGTGTAAAAATTGGTATTGTTCAGCTAGTTTAAACCTTTTCTTTACAAAGAAATCACCAGTGTGACTACTTCTATATTTCACCATTTCCTGAGCTCTCTTTTCTTTGTTGTCTTTTGTAGTTTCAGGAAGTCATTGTGTAGAAGATATACACGGGCACACAAATATTCCTTAGCAGGCTCCTTCTTTAAGCCTGTTAATACTTTTCAGAGGTCTCGGAGTTTAAAATAATATTATTAATTTATAACCTCCCATGTGTGTTATGGTTGTTTGGCATAGACAGAAAAATCTGAATTATCTGGAAGTTGTAAGCAACCATATATCTTTGATTTTTGGGGACTAGTCAGAGGTACATGACTACTTGTGGGAGAGTTTTTGTGATACTGTTTGACACTCTCAGCTGCCTAGGTATATTTCACTTTTGATCATGTCTAAGCATATACTTTCTACTTCCTGTTCCTATGATACCTGTAAAATCTTTGTGTTTCGACAAAATTATCAACGACTTGTTAATGGTGGGCAAGGATCTTCTATGTATTCCTTAGTCTCCAATCTTAAGACCATGTTTCAATTCATAGTTAACTTTACATTAAACCTCTTTTCTGAAGAGATAGTTATACCATTTTAATTCATGGAATATTCAGATTTAAATGAATTAATTATAAAGGTTACATCCAATACTTGAATCTACTCTATAGCATTTCAGCCACATGATTTATTTTCTGTTTAAAGCTTCCAGTGATGGGGATCTAGGAATTACTTAAGGCCGTCTAAACCACTTTAGAACTACTTTTTTTTTTTTTAATCCTCACTGAAGGAGTGAGGATGTTTTTTAGAGAGAGTGGAAGGGAGGTGGGAAGGGTGAGGTGGGAGAGAGAGAGAGAGAGAGAGAGAGAGACTGACTCCTGTACGCACCCCGACTGGGGCTGGGGATCAAACCTGCAACCCAGGTATGTGACCTTGACTGGGAATCACGCCAGTGACCCTTCAATGTGTGGGCCGATGTTCTAACCCATGGGCAACACGGGCCAGGGCTATAACTACTTTTGTTACAAAATTCTTACACCTGTTGGACTGAAGTTAGCCTCTTGGTAGCTCTCCACCACCTTGTCCTGATTTTGCTCATCAGGGTGACCCAGGACACATGTTATACTTCCATAGGACAGCCCTTCAGCTTCCCTTATAAGTCTCTTAGTTTACTTTTGTTGTTGTTTACTAGTGAAGACTTCATAGAGGAATTCCTAAGATGCTAATTTTGTATTTAAAAAAATTTTTTTATTGATCTCAGAGAGGAAGGGAAGGAGAGATAGAAACATCAATGATGAGATAGAATCATTGATTGGCTGCCCTCTTCACGCCGTACACTGGGGATCAAGCCCACAATCCGGGCATGTGCCCTGACTGGGAATCAAACTGGGCACATTGTTTATTTTAAAATTAGCATCTTAGGCCCAGGTGGCGTGACTCAGTGGTTGAGCCTCGACCTATGAGCCAGGAGATCACGGTTCGATTCCTGGTCAGGGCACATCCCTGGGTTGTGGGCTCAATCCCCAGTAGGGGCTGTGCAGGAGGCAGCTGATCAATGATTATCTCTCAGCATTGATGTTTCTATCTCTTTCTCCCTCTCCTTCCCTCTCTGAAATCAATAAAAATATATTAAAAAAATAAAATAATGTATTTTGTGTTCTAGTTGCTAACAAGTAAAATGTGTTTTGTGTTTATATTTCTTCAATCACAGGCAGCTGAAAAAGTTGGATGAAGATAGTTTAACTAAACAGCCAGAAGAAGTGTTTGATGTCTTAGAGAAACTTGGAGAAGGGTGAGTATATAGAAAATATAGGTAGATGCCAGTCATTTTCTTCCCCCAACACCAGAAGGATATGAACCTTTCTTCTGGCAATATTTTGCAGACCTAAGGAGAAGAAAGGGAGATGATGCATATTGGCACTGCTCTGGGTGGGGCGGGAGGTAAATTTACATCTTGAAATGCCCTTTCCCTCTTTCCTCAGTCACTTTTCTAGAAAGATTTAGTGATTCTGGTCTTTTTAACACCAAGGACATCTATTGGGTTTTTTTGTTTTGTTTTGTTTTTGTTTTTTACTTTTGTAGAATCCATGGTTTGCATGATTTTTATCTATTTAACAGCACTAATTAGTTTATACTTTATTTAAAATTTTTTGTCAGTCAGACATTTTAATTTGTAGTTCATGACTTCTAATTGATATGTAATAATTTGTTTCAATTTAAAAAAGGAATTCAGCATTTTAGTTAGTGCAACATTGTGAAATATAGTAAATAAATCAAGAACTATTACTAGTTTTATGACTTCCTAAGAGATCCAAAATCCCAGGTTTGGTACCAGTGGACTTCCTGAATCACAGATTTGTGGATGAGTTTATAATGTACTGGTGACATTTAGTAATAGTAATGGCCATTATTGACTTTCATGATACATAAAGGTTACATCATAATTTTTTGTACTTTTACATATCCTTTTCATTCTTGTGTGTGTGCTTATTTATTCTCCTGTAATTAAAGAATACTAAATTTTAGGGATACCCTTTCTTAAGTTTTTGCTGTTAATTTTTAAATAGGTAATTCTTATTCAAAATTCAAAAAGCATAAAAGTGTACACAGTGAAAAAAATCTGCCCCCTACCTCTATCTCTCCACATCCCAGAAGCAACCAGTGTAACAGTTTTTTATGTATATTTCAGAAATAGTTTGTATATATAAGCAAATAAGTGTGTGTGTGTGTGTGTGTGTTTTGAGTCTCTTACAAGTACTGATTTAAGAGAAGAACTGAAATGTTAACTTTAAAAAATGTCTATTGTCTATTTACTGTAGGTTCTGATTTTATTTTATTTTTTTTTAAATATATATTTTATTGATTTTTTACAGAGAAGAAGGGAGAGGGACAGAGAGTTAGAAACATTGATGAGAGAGATCGATCAGCTGCCTCCTGCACACCCCCCACTGGGGATGTGCCCGCAATCAAGGTACATGCCCTTGACCAGAATCGAACCTGGGACCCTTGAGTCTGAAGGCCGACGCTCTATCCACTGAGCCAAACCGGTTCGGCAGGTTCTGATTTTAAATGTCTGTTGTTTAATTACTATATACTCTTTAAAATCAAGTCTTATATGTCATTAAATTATTTTGGGGTTTAGTGTCATTTATGCCTACTGGAGTTCAAGTAGAGGCCCGGTGCATGAAAACTCATACGCTGGAGAGGGGGGTCCCTCAGCCCTACCTGCCCCCTCTCACAGTCCGGGAGCCCTCAGGGGCGGGAGGCGACCTGGCGATCAGGGGAAGGCGATGCCCCATCACATCTCTGCTCCTGCCACTGCCGGCAACACAAGCGTCTGCCGGCCCTGGGCGGCTGGGGGGCTGAGGGGACTGGGCCGCCATCTTGTGGCTGTGGACGCCACCATCTTTGAGGGCGTGACAGTCAATTAGCATATCCCCTCCTTATTGGCTGTGGGCGCCATTATCTTTGAGATGGCATGAGGGTCAATTAGCATATTCCCTCTTTATTAGATAGGATAATCACGTTAAACCAGCCGTGGGCAAACTACGGCCCTTGGGCCGGATCCGGCCCGTTTGAAATGAATAAAACTAAAAAAAAAAAAAAGACCGTACCCTTTTATGTAATGATGTTTACTTTGAATTTATATTAGTTCACACAAACACTCCATCCATGCTTTTGTTCCGGCCCTCCGGTCCAGTTTAAGAACCCATTGTGGCCCTTGAGTCAAAAAGTTTGCCCACCCCTGCATTAAACCCTATCCTGGATTACATGGAATAGGTTTTTCATGGATTACCTCCTTGTAAAAAGCATTAGTCATCATCTTTTTGTAAGTTGGAAAAATACTCTTTGGAATCCAGCATGAAATTCAGCAGAGAAGGAAAGTAAAAGATGATACCATCTGTGCTGCTAAAGACAAGTTGCAAGATAAATCTGAAGACTGCAAGTTGACTTTGCAGCATGAAAGGTATGGGAAAACAACTGCCCTCTACATCTCCTGCCTGCCTTTTTCAGCTTTAGCTTGGCATCCTTGCTATTTTCCTCAAAGAAATGAATCTAAGGCCCTTAATCTAACAACGATCACAGGTTATGCTTTGAATAAGATAAAGAGTGCTAGGCATAACTGACTATGTAACTAACTTGTTTCTTTCATTTTTTAATAGAAGTGTGTTACAGCAATAAGGGTATAGACTTTGAAGTCAGACAGACCTGTGTTAAAACCCTTGCTCTGCTGTTTATTAGTCATAATAAACAAGTGATCTTGGGAAAATTGCTTAATATTTTGAAGCTTCACAAGCCTCAGCTATAATATGGGGATATTAGTATCTCTCTCTTAGGGTTGACTATTACATGAGATAATGGGGGTAAAGTACTTAGTACAGTGCTTGTCACATAGTAAGTGCTCAGTAAGTGGGCAACTAGTATTTTATTTTTAACTGTATCAACCGAAGCATTTTTCAAATTTCCTCATGTCAAATTAAAGTTAAATCTTAGGTCTTCAAGTATATTTAGGTGTTCTTTAAGGGAGCTGTGTCTGGATTGATTGGGTTTGGAGAATATGAAAAGAAAACTACAGACAGAACATAATGTAAGGAAAAACTAAGCTAATTATGATTATTTTTAATTGTGTTTTAGACCCATGAACATCCTCATCGATGGAAATTTTCCTATAAAAATATTACCAGGGACAAAAAAAATAATGCTTCAAGTCTTTCTTCCCATATTATTCTTCCCACAAATGCTTGAATTTCTGTCATTATGGCTGAAAGAACCTGATCAAGCCTCATTTAACCAGCGAAGTCCTGAAGGAAGACCTTAACTGCACTTACTTCTCAACACAAACTGCCATGCCATCCTTAAACTGTTCTGGAAAATGAATGGATTGCAAACTCACACTGACATGTGCCTTGTGAAAATAACTCTGGCTAAAGGACAGCATTGGACTCTATGGCCTGCAGTCAGTCTGCATTTTAAGGAAATTGTGTGGATCTGTGGACAGTGGAGCCAAAGCTCCAGACCAGGAAGACTGGACAGCACTTGGAAAGTGCTTTGAATTAGAGCCTAGTGTTTTTTCCCTCCTATTTTACTTAATGGTGTATACAGTGACTCATAAAAACATCTTGCCTGTGGTTTCATAGTTAGTGAGTGGTAATGTTAAGACTTGTACCTGGTTAATTTGCCCTCAAATATTTCTGTTTTTCTACATTGATCTTTGCCTTGTATGGCTTATGGGAAACGCGTGCTTCCCACCATCATTGCCAGTTAAAGTTCACTTAGGTCTTAAGGGCCTTGCCTGTAAGTGAGCATGATTGCTTACTGGTAAGCCTTCTAAATCCTCTTTAGATCACTGTAAGTGCAGTATGTAGAATTAGGTATCTTAATTGCTCATATGAACTATCAGAGTTTTCTTTGCTATCAAGATGGCATAAGGAAGCATGGAGAGTATTCTGGTCAACATTACTGCATGAGTATGTGGAGCTCTCCTTTCCATTTTAAATACATAAGAATAATGAGTGAAAATTAATTTTTTAAATATTAGGATACATAGACAGCTATGGATCCGTGATAGAAAAGGTATCTGAAACAGTAAGAAAGGGGTAAAGCATGTCTGTCCTTGTCAGAGACTGCAGGTGGGCTTTCTACATGAAGTTGTGGGCTGGGACGAGCTCTGCATCTATGAACTAAATCTGAAATAAATTTGTGTATCATATGTGGACTGGAGAAAAAGGGGAGATGCTGGTCTGACGATAGGAACTGGGCCTGGACTGCATTCAGGTCTGGTATCTTCAGGGGCAAAACCCCCAAACTTCTAATATGAGATCTGGTTTAAATTGTACAGCCTGGATGACTGGCTGAGGGAACTATGAAACCATCATGGAGTGCTCATGACAGTGAGCATTATATAGAGAAAAATCATTCAAGATAAAAGGAAACTCATGCAAACAAATCCACTGCCATGATATAATCAGCAGACCTAACAAATGGGAGAATTCACACCCAAGGAAGTAGAAATAATGGAGCAGTCTGGAAAGAGATTTAACATGTTTGTTTATGATTTTCAAAAAGATAAAAGGAGGGAATGACATCCTTAAAAGAATACCAGATTATTAATGTGAACAGTCAGCCAGCCCCATGAATAATAAGATGTTGGGAATCTTGACAATGAAAACTACAATTATTGAAGTTCTAAAGGCCTAATAAATTGGATAAACAGTAAACTAGAGAAGCTGAAAAGAGAATTTGTGAATTGGAAGAGAGAAGTGGGACCAATCACAAAATGCAGGACAGAGAAATACAGTGTTAGAAACCAAGAGGACAGCATGGATTGAGGAAGTCTAATACAGGTCCAAGAGGAATTCTAGAAGGATATATAAGAAGAGATAAAGAGGAAATAAAGAGATAATGCTGAGAATTCTCCAGACTTGAAGAAAGATATGCGCTTTCAGATTGAAGAAGTTTATGAAATGCCAAATAAATCAACTGCTAGTAAAATTGTAGAATGTTAAGGATGAAGAGGAAATCTTAAAAGCTACAGAGAGATTACCTGTGAAAAAACGATGATCTGGTGATAGCTGACTTCTGAACAACAATAAAAACTGCAAAATTGCAGTAAAAATGCTGAGGGAAAGCTATTATCAAAGAAGAATTCTGTGTCCAGCAAAAGTCATTCCAGAATGAAGGTGAAATAAAGGCATTTTCACACAGATGGGAATTAGCATATCAAGAATAACTTTGGCTGAAAGTAACAGAATACCTCACTAACAGTGGCTAACCAATAAGGGCATTTAATAACTAAGTATAATAAATCTGGGAGTGAAAGATTCCAGAATGGTTAATTGGCTTGAATAATGGTTTAGCATTTGTGTAATTCTCATCATCTCAAGATGACCACATTAGTTTCAAGCATCATGCCTCACATGACAGTAACAAAAGCAGAAAGGAAGTAGCAAGTAAAAATGGGCCTTGGGTGCTTCTCTCTTACCTGGGAAGAAAGTCTTACCCAGAAACCCTTCAGCAGAATTCCCCTCAAATTTCATTGGTCAGAACTAGGTCATTGGCTGAAGGAAATAGGATTACTGTGACTGGCTTTATCCCCTGGGAAAAGGAGTTCACCTCCCTAACAAATCAGAGGATTACCTTAGCAAGGAAGAAGGGTCTTCTCCACATGGTCAGTGGTTGCTTTACTCTTGAGAAAAAAAAAAAGCTTATGTAACATTTAAGGATCACTATAGTAATTTTGTCAATGTAAAGGTTTCTGGTGGAGTAGAAATTTTTTATATGCTCTGCATAGATTTTTATAAACAAACACATTGAAATGAATATTGAGTACCATTTTGGCAACTTAGAGCACTCAGCTATTTTGATCTTTTCTCACCAAGACATTATGAAGAAGCAGGAATATTTGGGAAACGGGAAAGACAGTTTACTCACTATTTCACTGACAGCCATCAGAATTTGAATGAAGCTATAATCTATTTAAGGTGATGATGGCATGTCATTTGACCATTACAATTGTCTTGTAAAGTAGTTGGTGTTGTTGTCATTTTACAGATGAGAAAATTGAGGCACAACAGGGTTAAAAATTAAAACTATGTCTGTAAATGTGGTGGTGGTAGGACTAGGTCTTTAGATTCTAAATCTAATACTCTTAGCCTCCAAATTGAATGAATATACATATATATACTTTTTATTTTCATAATAAGCTCTTAAGAAAAGATAGAGTAAAAGGCAAAAAGAATAGTTATATGGTCTGTTCACCTGATACTAGCATTTAAAGAGACTTAGACTTTTAATTCATTTCCATAGTGTTTTAAGTTTTATTGCAAGTAAGAGGAGCAAGGAATGAAGAACTCAGTACTAGAGTGAGCACAAGGAAACAAAGACCTCCAGTTTGTGACCCAGTATAGTACGATGTGGAGCGAGCTAAGGCTTTGTATTCAGTCACAACTGGATTCAAATTCTGGACTGACCATTTATTTATCACTTATGTGTGACCTTGGCCAAGTCATGTAGTCCCTCTGAGCCTTTTCACATTTACCTGTGTAATAGGGATAATGGCCCCTTTTCCATTGTTGTGTGTCTGTGTGTGTGTGTGTGTGTGTGTGTGTGTGTGTGTGTGTGTAAGGATGAACTGAGATGATACACAGTTTTCGGCAGACATCAGACATGAAATGGTAGATACTATAATAATTTCATACTAACACATTTAGTACAATTTAAATGTCAAGTTTTTAAGATGCCATTTTGTGGT